CTGGTGGCAGTGGGGGCTGTGCCCAGTGGGCCCCGTGGAGATGCTCAGTGCTTGGAATCGCCGGGACCGACCCCCTGAAGAGGGGGCAGCTGCGGGGCTCCAGGGCTTCACCGTGGACAAGACGTTCCTCTCGTCCCTCAAAGGCATCCTGCTGGAAACTGAGCTGGTAACAGCTGCCTCCCTGACCTGCAGCCTCCATCTCCCAGCCCGGGCCCCCCACCAGGGCTCAGCCCTCAGCAGCCTCCCTCCCCAGGCTCTCAGGTCACCCCTCTGGCCCCAGCTGCCCCCCACCCCACCCAGCCCCTCATCTCCCATCTGGAGGCAGTCACAGCAGGTTTCAGTGGCTGCAGGAAGGATTGAAGTTAAACAGAGGACAGCTCTCTGGGACATCGAGGGGGTGTGAGGCACAGGGATGGGACAGCAGTAACACCAGCTGGTCTCTCCCCAGGCTTTAAGATGGCCACTTCTTGGCAGGTCCGAGAAGTTCAACTACCAAAAAGGGCAGACTTCCTGCAGCCCCACTTTATCTGCTGCCTGCTCCCCATGAATATCTGTCCTCAGGAAAGAAGCTTCCCTTAGTCACTTAGCAAGACCTACTAGTAAATTTAAGTCTTCTGCATATATTCCATCCTACATTGCCAGAGCTGAGGGGACCCCAGAGTCCACCCTGGAGCATCTGCCTTCTAAACCTTGCCTCTTGGCATGGAACCAGAGGCTCTGGTCCTTGTCAGAAGAGTTTTAGGCATCCAGGAGTGGGAGAAGTGTTATGGGGCATGGGGTGCCTCCTGGGGGCACAGGCTGATGTGGGCACTACTCCAAGGGCTGGTGTTCCCATTGTACTCGGGGCTAAAGGGGGACCCACTATCTTGTGGATTTCACAGAGTGGCGGCCCCTGGAGCCCTGCAGCTTGGCCATACTGCTGAGGCTGCTGGGGTCCCGAGGCAGGGGGAGCATGGGCGGGCAGAGGTGGGGGGCCAGAGTCGGGCCTCAATAGGCAAAGGCCCTGGATGTGGCTCCAGGGATGGCGAGACCTCCAAGGACAGGTGGTGGGGCCGGCTGGGGGAGCTCCGGGGAGGGAGAGGGCAAAGGCCTGGCTGTGCCTGTGTCCCCTTCCTGGCAAGCTTCCCACCCTCGGTCCCGCAGGCCCTGACCTTCATCATCTTCGTCTGTTTCACGGCCTCCATCTCCGCCTACATGGCTGCTGCGCTACTGGAGTTCTTCATCACGCTAGCCTTCCTCTTCCTCTATGCCACCCAGTACTACCAGCGCTTCGATCGGCTGAACTGGCCCTGTCTGGTGAGGGACCCTTCCTCCCCCACTCTGTTTTGGTCCCTTTCTTCTCTGCACGTTGAATTTTCCTTTCCTCTCCCAGCCTCTCTCCTTTTCCTGGTTTAACAAGGAGTCTGGCTCCCATACCCATCACTCAAACACTCCTTTGACCCACATCCCTCAGATCTGCTCCCTCGTCCAGGTCCAGCCCCAGCCCAGGCCCCTGGCTTCTCATCCTGCTCCTGGGCACTCCGCATTTATCTTCATCTCTCCCCTGGGGAGCTGTGTGAGCTCTCTCTCTCTTTGTCTCTCAAGCACTTTATGTTGTGTCCAAGGGTATCTCCATGTAGGGATTCACAGTGCCTGAGGGTCAAGCTGCTGACTAGCCTGGGAAACCTCAGGGCGATGACCCTGCCCTCTGCTTCCCTTTGACCCTGCACCCCCAACCCCCAGGACTTCCTCCGCTGTGTCAGCGCCAGCATCATCTTCCTGGTGGTCTCCTTTGCGGCTGTGACCTCCCGGGATGGAGCTGCCATTGCTGCTTTTGTGAGTCCAGCCCCACAGAGCTCTCTGGCTCCCCAAGGACCTTTGGCTGGTGGTTGCACACTTTGTGTGCCTCTCTCCACCCCAAGCTCAACCCAGTGCCCAGGGGCTGCCTCACACCTCGCCCCACATCACCCACCTCCCTCTCCCCAGTATCAATGGCCCGATGGCCTTTGTTGTGCCATCCCTGCTCCTATGCCCACAGGTTTTTGGCATCATCCTGGTTTCCGTCTTTGCCTACGATGCCTTCAAGATCTACCGGACTGAGATGGCACCCAGGGCCACCCAGGGTGAGTGCCTGTGCTCTGGGGAGAGGAAATGTCCCCTCCCCCCCCTGCCCCAGCTACCCCATCCTGCCATGCCCTACCCCACCTGGCTCCATCTTCACAGGGGACCAGTAGTGATACTGGGGCTACCTGGCTCCTGAGCCCAGCCAGAAAAGGGGGACAGCAGAGCCCAGACACGTCTCCTTTGGATTGACTAGCTCCCCAGCCTACTGTCCACCACCCCAGCCTACAGCGATGGAGCCAGGCCTGAGAAGTCACCGGGGATTTGTCTGTGGGGTCTGCTGTTTTAAGATCTGGTTTCTGATGAAGCTCGGCCAGGGAGGGGGTGTTATGGACAGAGGGGAGGGTACAGGAGGAAGCTGGTCATTCCCAAATTAAAAGACTTGAATCCTACTGGTGAATCTTTTTCTTCCCCCCAAATTAGGCAGACTAGGAATGCCAAAGAGTATTCATGGGAGTGTTGCCTGGAGCAGGTCATGGTCCCTTCTCTGGGACCAGGTATGAACAATGAGGAAGGGGGGCGCTTAGACATCCTTCAACATAAAGCTTCCATGCCACAACTCTTGCGTGCAAGGCCACCTTGCGGTGTGCCTGGTGGCCGGGCACCCAGGCTTCTGTGTCTGAGAAGGCGCAAGCCTTCCGGATGTGAATGAGTGCCCACTTGCCAAGCTTTTCACACCCCGGTCTTAGTGGGTTTGAGGTGAGGTGCTTGCCTGGGGCGTGTGTAGAGCTCCCCCTAGTGGTGAGGGGAGGACTTATCCCGCAGGCTGCCAGGGAGAGGTCAGCATCAGATGAGGGCAGAGATTCCCACATTGCTGGAGCTGCATGAGCCCTCAGATATCAGCTGGTTCAATGCCCTCAATTCACATACGAGAGAGGACACGCCCAATTAGGGGAAGTGACCTCTTTATCTGTGGCAGAGTTAGGGCTGGAGCCCGGCTCGCCTAACACCTGAACAGGTGTTCTGGATATTGTACTGAGCCCCTGTAACTCATAAAAAATGGCCCAGCCTCATTTCCAGCTCCCTCCACCAGCAGGTCCACCTTCCCAGCTTGCCAGTGCCTCAGCAGGACATTTCCTGAGCATCCCATGTGCAGACCCCATGCTGGGTCCCAGGGATTCAGAGGTGCCCAGCAGGCCCATCCTTGAACGCTCACAGATGGGGAAGAAGACCAGCTAGTGAAGGGCAGTCATGGCTCAGGGGGACTTTGGAGTCAGCCCTGCCTGGCCCGTGACAGCTCAGTGTGGCCGGGACATCCCTGCCCAGGCCCGCAGAGCCCAGCGTGGCCTAGCTTGTCCAAGCTGACTTGCTAGCCCCTCTCCAGTGCTTCTGTGTCCCTGCCCTGAAATGCCTTCCTTCTTCTAGGGTGCTCCTTCCAGATGCAGGCCCCAGCACCCAAGCCCTGCCTGAACCTGAACTCTGGTAGAGTTGCTCTGCTCCCCTCGATGCTAACCACCGGCTACTCTTGGTCTGGCTTTTCCTGCCTCTGGGTTCCTATTCTCCTAACCTCGTGTCCTGGCCCCTCACCAGAACTGGTAGCCTCTCCAGGGCTAGAACC